CCAGCACCATACCTACAGGCTGGGGAACTCCCTTCTCGTCAGGGCAGAGGCAGAAAAGGATCTTGGAGTCATCATTGATGCCAAGATGAACATGGGCCGGTAGTGTGGGGACGCGGTCAGGAAGGCCAACCGCACCTTGCCCTGCATCCACAGATGCATCTCGAGCAGGTCCAAGGAGGTGATCCTCCCCCTCTATGCGGCACTGGTCAGGCCGCAGCTGGAGTACTGCGTCCAGTTCTGGGCGCCGCACTTCAGGAGGGATGTGGACAGCATGGAGAGGGTCCAGAGGAGGCCACTCGCATGGTCAGGGGGCAGCAGGGCAGGCCCTACGAGGAGCAGCGACGGGACCTGAACCTGTTCAGCCTCCACAAGAGAAGGCCAAGGGCGGATCTAGTGGCCTGTTACAAACTAGTCAGGGGGGACCAGCAGGCACTGGGGAAGTCCCTGTTCCCCCGAGCACTGCCAGGAGTGACCAGGAATAACGGTCACAAGCAGGCAGAGGGGAGATTGAGACTAGATATCAGGAGGCGCGACTTCACTATCAGGGTGGCTAGGATCTGGACCCAACTTCCAAGAGAAGTGGTGCTGGTTCCTGCCCTGGGGGGCTTTAAAAGGAGGCTAGATGTACACCTTGCTGGGGTCGTTTGACCCCCGTACTCTTTCCTGCCATGGCAGGGGGTCGGACTTAATGATCTGCTCAGGTCCCTTCCAACCCTACAAACTGTGAAACTAAGTCACTGAGTTGCAGCAGCTAAGGAGCCCAACCTGGTTTGTTCTTCTGCTCTCAGTGGATGGGGTCACTTTTGCCATGTGGATGCTTCAGTGACCGAAACTGCTATTACTGTATTTCTTTGCCTAGAACGTGCAGCCCTATTCCCAGCCCCTGCTTTTTGGGGGAAATGGTGTGTGTTGTATGTGAGCCAATGCAGGGATTCCTGTGTCTAATGAAGCCAAATCCCAGATGTGGGGGGGCAGGTCTGGAGCTGGTATACCTCTTTGTGCTGAGGAACCTCCTGTGTCTCCAGAGCCGGAAGGGAAATTTGGATAACGCACCTGACTGTCCCCATTCGATCAACAGGACACGCAACTGTTGCACGTGGTAAATAGAGCACAGGCAGCCTCGGGCTGAGCTTTACAGTGGCCTGGAGGTCTGGCTCCTCTGCTCCTTGCTGCTCCTTTCCAAACAGAAGGCAGGCTGGTGAGGCTGTTTCCCTCTTTCACTTCCCCTAACCCAAGCTCATCCTGATGCTTCCTTCCTTGCCTTGTAAAAGGTCTGTTCTCCACCAAGGCTGTGAGGCTCTGAGGCAGGAGAAGCAGAGTGGATTTCAGTTTTACCCTCCTCTCCATCCTGTGAGCCACAGAGCCCATTCCCCTTCGGCCTCCCATGTGGGCCACATCTCCTGCTTGCTATTTCCAGCCACTTACCAGAGAGGCCCTGCCTGCATTGCGTATTTCCCTGGTGAGAGAGAGAAAATCTAGTCCGTGATCATCCCCAGGAACAGCATCCTGGTCCTTTGGAGCTACTGGAAGTTTCTTGGCACGAGCTTGCATCACAGATCAATGCATCATGCACACCTACACGCAAGTATCCTGAGAGAGCATGCTCTCTCTAGTCCTGCCCTGGAGAGGTTTTAGCAGACCTCTGTGTGTGTGCCAAGGCAGTAACTGCTCTCCGTTAGCTTGCTGAATAGAGGCCTGGGATCTCTGAGCTGATGGGAAACAGGACTGGCAGCCAGTCAGTTGGACGCTTTGCAGTTAGGAATTTATCATCACAGTTGCCTGAGGCAGCAGCCGTTTTCTGCACGGAGATGATCAGCACCTGACCCTTTCTCACGCCCTGTCATGCCATTCTCTAGGGAGCTGAAGTGCCCCATCTTCTTCTTCTCTTCATGTCGCTACACCACGTTTGACCGTTTTGTTACACATGCTTCTGCTCATTTATTCTACTTTGCGGGATCTTTCACTTCACACGTGCCTTCAAGCAGCAGGCGTTGCAGCACGTGTTGCATAGTCTGAGGCTCTGTGCTGCAGTCACAGGTGGGGTTGACCCAATGGTATATCCTCACTCCTTAATTAGCTCCTTGGAGTATCCAACTCTGGTACGCAGGTGCTTGAGACGTTGCCACCTTTGCCACGGTTAGTCAGCCCCCGGTGCCAAGGACTCAGCTGCTGGAATGTCCATTTTTTTTGCTGTCGGGTTTTTTTTTCCAGCCTCCTAGCAGAAGCGTTCACACTGTGACCCCGGTCAACTAATCCCTGGTAATCCCTGCAAATTCTGCTAATGCTCCAAACCATGATTTTGATGTCCCCCCTAACAAGCTGTGACTCTCATTAGCCTTGCAGAGCTGAAATCCTGACGGGAGAGGGAGCTGATTTCCATCCTGTCTCTCAAGATTGCAGGCTGGGTGCAAACTGGAGGGATCACAGACCCCTGGGAGAGCAGCGGGGCTGGAAGGGGCCTCACGTCTGGTCCAGCCCCCTGCCTGAGGTAGCATCAGCCCTGTCCAAACCATCCCAGACAAATTCACTGTCCGACCTCTGAGCAAAACAACAGTCAATGGGCACAGCAGCAGGCATCACACCCAACCCTGCCACAGGGAAGGCAAGGGGGACTGCAGCCACCAACCTTTGACAGTGCAGCCTCAAGGGACACTGTCAAGGACAGATGGTGCTTCTGTGCCAGAGCTAGAGCAGTTCCCAGCTACAGAAGCCTCATTCCTCTGCCCTTTGGACGCTCCTAGGTGAAGGCCAAAAAGGAAGGGGGATTTTCTGTCTGGTAGTAGCTTGCAGAAATGCCTGCACAAGGGATGTGGTAGGAAGACCCTATGAACCAAAGTGTGTCTGTCCTAACGGGAGAGATTTTGTCCCTGTTCCAAACCAGGGTGTCTCTTCCCTAGACACCTGTTTGGGCACCACTGCACTGAGGCAGTTACCTCCAGCCCCAGGAACCCCATCTCGGGGCAGGCCTGTCTAAACAGCCCTGGACAAGGCAGTGGAAATGCCCTGCAGAGCACTCCCCTGGACTAGGGAGCCCCTTGTTCCCTTGGACCATCAGGAGCTGTAGCTATAAGGCTACATCGTTTCCCAGCCCAGTCATGAACTCATAGAAAATTCAGGTTGGAAGGGACCTCAGGAGGTCACATCTAGTCCAACCCCCTGCTCAAGGCAAGACTAAGATAATAAAAAGTCCTTTTTCAAATATATAGGGAGGATGAAGAAAGCACCGGGAAATGTGGGGCCCCTGCAAGATACGCTGGGCAATCTAGTAGTTGCATCAGAGGAGAAAGCAGACCTCTTTAACCAATTCTTCACCTCCGTTTTCTTGTGCAGGGACCAGGACTTCCCCGCCGTGATGCAAGACGGACTCAAAGGGAACGCCTCCAGACCTCAGGTTGGGGAGGACCGGGTTAGAGAGCTTCTGGAGGGGCTGGACATGTTCAAATCAGTGGGTCCAGATGCTCTCCACCCCAGGGTGTTGAGGGAGCTAGCAGGGGTTATTGCAGGGCCCTTGGCATGGCTTTACGAGCGCTC